AGAGAGACATTACGAGTCAAGAATAACAACTTCTTCAATCGATTAATGTAGAAGCCATTCAAACCATCGAGAATACGAACCAGATCAGAAGACTCCAGAGAATATTATTCTATAATATCGAGAGAGGCAGGAAATTTAATATTAATATAAGAAACTTCGTCTAAACTCGATCAAAATTAAAGAAAAATCGAATAATGAGACAAAATAAGATATACACCGAATGAAGACGGGGAATTAGAAGAAGTAGTAGTTTAAGGGCAATGGAAAATAATCCACAGATATCAACGCGGCAATTAAGCGTAATCACGGGATTTCCAAGAACCAAAACTGGCCGGATTTTGAAAAAATTCAGATTTCAGCCATACAGAACTAGCAAAGTCTCAAGTTACCTCAGACCAGGAGATTTTGAACGGCGTATCAATTTTTGCCAATGGTTCTTGGGAAAATGTGTCGCAGAACGCAATTTTTCTTTAAATTGTATTTGGACTGATATTGGTGCATAGCACAAATAAAATATTTGAACATATTTAGGCAACAAATCGAACCTGTTGTTGACGATTTACGTCTAGCGCACCTGCAAAATGTATTTTTTCAACATGATGGCGCACCGCCTCACAATGCTGCTATTGTCACCAATTTATTGACCGCAGCTTTTGGTGATTGTTGGTTAGGTAATCAAGGTTCTATTCGTTGGGCGGCTCGGTAACCGGACCTAACACCTATGGATTTTTTCCAATAAATTCCCGACAGCAATTAGAAGCCGCAGTTGTGAACGCTTTTGCAACACTTAGGTCCATTTATCAACTCGGCAAAAAGGGCTAAAAAAGACGTCAACTGTGTATAACACAAACCATTTTGGGGACATTTTGAACATTTTCTATAGAAAAGGGGTTTACTTTTGTTGTTATTTGTTGCCATATATTTATTCTTGTTTTATAATAAGTTTTATTAATTTAATCCGCTTCTTGTTTATGAATTTACGTTTTAATTCATTGTAACCAGCTATCTTGATACTACTTATAAACATAATCTCGTTTTCTTTTATTTCCTAAGCTTACTTTTTCAAAAATTGTACATATAAGTTTTAAAGTTGTATATTTTAAAGAAGACTTGAACGAAATATCAAGTGTGTTATATTTTTGGAAGGGACATTTTATGTACTCGTCGAATTTGCAAAAATACATTTTTATGACAATAAATGCTAAAATATTGCTTTGAGGGAAAGGTAACTTATTTAATTGAATTCTACATAAATAGTTGCTTTGGAAATGTTTTCACAGAAAGGAAGATTTATCAATAAGAAAAAAGTTATGACGACTTTTAGAAAAAGCACTTTTTTGAAAAACACCCTGTATCTCTGGAATCGTAAAAGATATCGATATGCGGTTTTCGCAATTAAGTTTCTTATAGAAATCGAGCCTCAGACACTGATATCATTTTTCTTCTATCTCTTATAAAAATAGGAGCTTCCCTTTAATGTGCCCAATTTGGTCCACCCTGTACATATACTTTTACATTAATTAAAAGATCATACTTGAAGATAATTCATAATTAACTAGATGTTTAATAAAATTTAAAAAAAAAATTTTAATAATAAATAAAGGACATTTTAATTAATAAGAAGTTTTAAGTTTAAATTTTATCCTAAATGAAGGCTAAAATTTCAAGTAATTTGCTCACATCAAATTTTTTTATAAAATATTTTAAAAATATATAAATATTTTACCTGAATAGTATGTAAGACAACAATTTGAAGTATTTAAAATTGTAAAAAAAGATTTATTTTAATTTTACATACCACATTGTTATTAATTAGTTTTTATTACAGAATTATAATTCAATTAAATTTCCAAGATCACAAAATACCAAAAATAATTTTTTTGTCACAATATAAATAATTTGTAATATTAAAAAAAACTTGGTAAATAAAAATCAATAAATATTTATTTAATACATATACAGGATGTATCTGAGTTTTAATGAAAAAATCTTAGTAGGCTTTGCAATATAAATGGGATGAAATTCTCCATATTTCTCTAATATAATAAAATTTTATCTTTATTATTGAAGATTTTTAATTTTTGATTTTGTTAAATTTAATTTAAATTTTATTTGTAAATTAAGTTAAAAGAGATTTCCTGAACCCCACCTACTAACATAATTATATTGTATAATATTCTATGTACTGAAGATGAAACATTAGTTTCGAAACATATCTGCTTGAATAGAATTAAAACATTTTAGTATTTCTCAAAAAGTTTTTACTTTTACATACATCGAAGTCACTAATTCACTAAAGAATCACCCCTTGAAGTTTGTTGCAGTCGTTGAGATACACCCTGTATATTATATTCCATTATGTATGGGCATCCTGTATTATTATTGTATATTGACGTTGGTCTATGAGGCGTAAAACAATTTAATATAATAAATTCAAAAAACTTGATTGAAACCTAACCATGTCCAAGAAATATCTCAAAATAAACCTCTTATCATTTCTCACTCTCAATAATAATCTTAATTCCTAACAAAAAGTTTAAAAATCCAATCTTTAGTATAAAAATAGGCATATGATCTGGTTAATGCCTACAGATTCGGGGGGCCACAAAATAAAAAGTCCATAAAAATCTAAACTTGGAGTAATTGCACGATTATAATACACTCTATGTACATACAGGGTGCCCATTATGTATGGAATATAGTATATATCTCGGTAAATGTTCACTTTACAAAAAAACATGTTTAATATTTTATTTGCCATAATAAGACAGCATTCAATTGTTTTTATTGCAGAAAACAAATGAGCAACGAATAACACTTGAAGTGTTTTAAATGGCAATGACTTTATTATAAATTTTTCGTTTATTTCTTTTATTTTGTATGTAAATTTAATTGACGGTAATAATTCGAGGTACTTGACTCTCTCGGATATGTAGATTACTGTTATTGAAATGAGCCTAACGAAAGGGCACATTGCCATTTAAAAAAATTCAAGTGTTATTCAAAATATTGAACAACTTTTGTATAAAATGTTTTTTTATAAAGTCAACATTTACCGAGATATATATTATATGCCATACATAATGAGCACCCTGTATACTTTTACATTAATTAAAAGATCATACTTGAAGATAATTCATAATTAACTAGATGTTTAATAAAATTATTTCCAAAAAAAAAATAATTTTAATAATATATAAAGGATATTTTAAGTTTAAATTTTATCCTAAATGAAGGCTAAAATTTAAAGTAATTTGCTCACATCAAATTTTATCATAAAATATTGAAAAAATATATAAATATTCTAGCTGAATAGTATGTAAGACGACAATTTGAAGTATTTAAAATTGTAAAAAAAGTTTTATTTTAATTTTACGAACCACTTTGTTATTAATTAGTTTCTATTAGAAAATTATAATTCAGTTAAACTCCCAAGATCACTAAAATACCAAAAATTATTTTTTTTGTAAACACAATGTAAATAATTTGTAATATTAAAAAAAATTGGATAAATAAAAATCAATAAATATTTATTTAATACATATATATATATAAAGAATAAAAAACTTAATATATATATTTAAAAAAAAAATCATGGTGGCTTAGTTGGGTTATGTTCAAAAAATAAAATGGAAACCCAAGCATTTTAAATTTAAACGTAATTTAATTAATTAAACCGCTTTTTATCCATTAATAATCAACAAATAAAAAAATAAATGAATTTAAAAAAATATATTTATTTATATATAATTGTTAAAACTCAAAGCACACTACGATTTTTCTATATAAAACGCGACGCGACAAAATTATAAACAAAATGTCGGCTAAAATAACCTTGAGGAAAATATAAAAAAGATCGTTGTAACAAATCCCCATTTGCGTTTAGAAAATAGATGTTTGGTTATTGTAGACAAGGTTAGGTTAGGTTTAACCCAAGCCTACTGTGTATGTACCCGAGATATTGGCGGCAAAATCGTAGAGACCGTTGAAATAAAATCGTACGAAATAGAACAAAGCCCGTAAAAACGCGCTACGTCATCAATAAAACCCGTCCCCAAAATTCACGATGGGACTCAATTTTTCCCGGGGGCCCCCGAAAATCGACCGAGAATCGATTTTTTTCACGATTTTTTCTCATCATACAAACAGTACAAACACGCCTATGGTCCATAAGCGCCGTATAGAAATACATTGGGGGCTAATGGAGGCTAAAGGCCGCCATATGAAATACAGACAAAGCTACTAACTTTCAAAATTATTTCCGACCTTATTTTTAGGTAAAAATCCCTTTTTTCTCGTCTTATTAATTAACCCGATGTTTAAAGATCACTTACCAAAAATTTGATGCTTTTGAAACGTACCCTTACGACCGAAAAAAAATAATTTCAAACACTCTTCACTTATATAGGTATAGGCTTATGGCAGCCATTTGCTGTGTGTTCGGTTATACGGAGTGTGGACACAGTTGGCGGATATTTAACTTTCAATAGATACGAAAGCGGAATTTCATCGAAACGTTTAAACGTACCGATGTAAAATAATTGAAATGATTATCGTTTCGATTTTAAAGACGGTGACACGTTAAAATAAGGGAAAATTAAAAAAAATAAACTTACCTGAACGGGCCTCGAACAAACTGAGTACGGCTTCGTATTTCGTGACCCCACGCCACTTACGCGGTATGCACTCTCTGCGAGAGAGTAACATAGGGACGGGTTTCTTTTACCGGATTGGTCCGATTTGAACTTGCCGCAGAAAATAACCCAATGATGACAACGTTATTAAGTTTGGTTACAATTTTTTGACAGCCAATAATGTTTTTAGACGCGCAATAAAAGAAATTTACTCCTTACCCAATTCCACGCGACCCCGCGTTCGATTCCTCGTCGATTCTTACGCATTTTAATACCCCTAATATCCAGATATACGCATTTAAACGTTTATATTTCTCTTTTTCCTCCACGATTTCGATAAAAATTGGGGACATTTTAGTTTTTGATGTTTTTATTATTACAGGAAACACATGATCCGGTCGGTTCGGTTTTTGTTTCTGCGACTTTGATCCTTATTTACTAGCGTCTCCAGTATGTCTCCTCTTTGACGTTTACGTTTTCAAATCAAAGTTTTCTGTGGATTTTTTTACAATGAACGGGTTTAGTACCGGCGAAGAAGACTCCAGGGGGCCCGCTGATCAAGTTTGTTGTCTCGTCGACGTTGGGATTCGGTGTTCTAAACCGGCGGGTAATGCCTCTTATAGTAAAAGGATACAAAAAGCTGTTCGAAAACTACAATTGAGTATTGATAGTAGTGTAAGTACCCCTAAATTCTTTATTATTTTCATTTTCAACCTACTTTTATATAACATTAAATTTCGAATATCTCTAGATTATCATAACCAAAGTGTTTTCGAATGAGGTACTCTAAAGTGCAAGGATTACTTTATTAGATAACAAAAATAATACATTTGTTTGAATTAAATTTCAGTGAACTAAGCATTCTTACCTACATTTTACAGTAAAAATTAAAATATTATATGAGGAGAAGAGAAACAAGGGAATTAGCAAGGAAAAGATTATAACATCTAATTCACCTTTACAAAAATAAATAATGAAATGAAATTGTTTATATTAAATTAAAATGGATGCAAAATGGTGTGGAACATTTATAGAACATAGAAAAATTATGGTATAAGCAGTGGTTAAAAAATGAGACTAAATAAGGATTATGTATTTATCGAAATCTGTGATTTGTAGCACACAGCCTGGAATAAGACAATATTTGATTATTTGCATCATATTAACCCAACATCTTCCAACAAAAATTTGCCTAAAACCAATCTTATTTACATTTTAATGTAATATAAGTAAAGCAAAATGGATTTGAATCAAGATATTTTATTAATTTATTTGATAAATAGAAAAATGCTCATTTTGCTAAAACATTAAATAGTTTATAAACCCTTTCTTTACCATATAGGAGGGAATATACTAGCATATATTCAAACCAAACACTTTCACATCTTATTACATTTCATAGAATAGATACCTAGTACTATATAAAATTAAATTTGGGATATCTTTAGATTATCATAACCAAAGTGTTTTGGAATGGGGTACTCTTAAGTGCAAGCATTACTTTATTAGATAACAAAAATAATACATTTGTTTGAATGAAATTTCAGTGAACTAAGTATTCTTACCTACATTTTACAGTAAAAATTTAAATATTATTACATGAAGAAAAGAGAAACAAGGGAATTAATAAGGAAAAGATCATCTAATTCATCTTTACAAACATAAATAATTAAATGAAATTGTTTATATTAAATTAAAATGGATGTAAAATGGTGTGGAACATCTATAGAACATGGAAAAATTATTCTATAAGCAGTGACTAAAAAATGAGACTAAATAAGGATTATGTATTTATCAAAATCTGTGATTTGTAGCACACAACCTGGAATAAGACAATATTTGATTATTTGCACCAAATTCACCCAACATCTTCCAACAAAAATTTGCCCAAAACCAATCTTATTTACATTTTAATGTAATAAGTAAAGCAAAATGGATTTGCATCAAGATATTTTATCAATTTATTTGATAAATAGAAAAATGCTCATTTTGCTAAAACATTAAATAGTTTATAAACCCTTTCTTTACCATGTAGGAGAGAATATACTAGCATATATCCGAACCAAACACTTTCACATCTTATTACATTTCATAGAATGAATACATAGTTGTATATAACATTAAATTTGGGATATCTCTAGATTATCATAACCAAAGTGTTTTCGAATGAGGTACTCTTAAGTGCAAGCATTACTTTATTAGATAACAAAAATAATACATTTGTTTGAATTAAATTTCAGTGAACTAAGCATTCTTACCTACATTTTACAGTAAAAATTAAAATATTATTATATGAGAAGAAGAGAAGCAAGGGAATTAGCAAGGAAAAGATTCTAACATTGAATTCACCTTTACAAAAATAAATATGAAATGAAATTGTTTATATTAAATTAAAATGGATGCAAAATGGTATGGAAGGTTTATAGATCATGGAAAAATTGTTCTATAAGCAATGGTTAAAAAATGAAACTAAACAAGGATTATGTATTTATCAAAATCTATGATTTGTAGCACACAGCCTGGAATAAGACAATATTTGATAATATTTGCACCATATTCACCCAACATCTTTCAATAAAAATTTGCCTGAAGCCATCCTTATTTACATTTTAATGTAATAAATAAAGTAAAATAGATTTGCAGCAAGGTTGTTATGATATTCTCATTGATATGCTCATTTAGCTAAGATATTAAATAGTTTATAAACCCTTTTTTTACCATGCAGGAGGGAATATATTAGCATATATCCAAACCAAACGCTTTCACTTCTTATTACATTTCATAGAATGGATGATGAAATAGAATTTGATGACACAAAACAGGTTTATTGAGAAATAAAGAAGGCATTGTTTAAAATTGTAATCAAAGAGATAATTTTATGAGGTGTTATTTTTGAGAGTGGTATAAGTCCACTTCTTAAAAACAATGAGTTAATGGTAATCTTCTTTCCATATTTATAATCATACATCAATTGAGTATGTTTTTCTCATAAAATTAACAAACGAATTTTGGCTATCAAATGTTACCACAAAAATGTTTTTTTTAAAGTGAAATAAGTCCATTCCTAATTATTATAATTAAAAGAACTTTCTTACTGCAATTATTATTGATTATTACAACTTGTATGTTATGTAAAAATGTACAATTTGTATGTTGAAAAGTGCAAAGACAACAATACAACATTTCTCAGCAAGCAAATATACAAGGTGATTTATTAGTTCACCATCAAACTTTGACATATCGCTGCTTCAGTAAAACACGGACGCAACTGCAATTTTTTTTTAAAAATGAGTTACTCGCGTAAACTAACGCAGAATATTGCTATTTATCCGCTAAAAAAACGCCATTACCATTTATTGATAACAATTAGCAAATTAAACTGTTAGAATCACACAAATTAAAAAAAAACGATTTCGTTTTTTGCGTCTCTTGTAAAATTTACCGATTTCCAGTTACGTCCATATTCTCCTGGGGCAGCGATATAATGAACATAATATTATGCCCTATTTCAATTATTTACGAAATTTTTATATCATAATTAACTGCAACATTTTTTTTTAAACACAAATATTACAAATATTGTTCAAAACGACGAATTAAAGATTTCTTCAGCCGAATTAAAAGGTCTGGTTGATTTCTTATTTCCATAGCAGCCGTTTGTATTCTGTTTAATAATACAAATGTCTGAATTGTATTCTGTCTAATAACTGGTCTTGTGTGTTAATTTCCACTTGATACACAATTTATTTCATTTAACTCCATAAGTAGAAATCCAATGGATTAAGGTCGGGGGATCTAAGTGGCCAAGCAAATGGACCATTATTACCAATCCACTTGTTTGGAAAATATTGGTTTAACCATTCGACTACTACTCTTACGCGATGAGGTGGGGCACCATCGTGCTGGTACCACATATTTTGAATTTCATTAAGAGGTATATCTTCAAGTAAACCAAAAAGTGTATTGTTCACAAAAACTCTGTAATTTGCAGCGTTCAACGTCTATCAAGTACATGCAAGCCTAGTAAATTGTTGTTAAATATTCCACCCCAAACGTTGATGCTGAAACGTTGTTGAAATTTCTTTACTCTAATCGCATGCGGATTTTGTAATGCCCAGATATGTTCATTATGGTAATTATTTATACCATCCCGTGTAAACATGATTCATCTGTCCACAGAACAATTGAAATGAAGTCATTATTTTGGGCATGTTGCTGCAATAACCATTCACAAAATGCTAACCGTTGCTGATTATCTCTTAGCTGTAGAGCTTGAACATTCTATTTACGATAGGGATGAAGGACTTCGCGGTTCAATACCCGCCATGCAAAATTTTGACTTACATGTATGTTGTGTGCTATTCTTTGAGTGCTGATGGAAGGGTTATCAATGACAGCATTAATTACTGCTTCTTCGTCCTCTACATTAACTACATGCGGTCGAATACCTTTTGCTGGAACAGGATTACCTGTTGCTCGAGTGTTCTGAAAGAATCGCTAAAAACTGAATAACATGGCATATGACGCTGTGGAAATCTTTCTTGATATTCTCGTACTGATTGTCGAGATTGCAAAAACTATTCACGAAAATTATATCAGCATACTCTACAGTGCTATAAACGTACATTTTGAGTTTCTTCTTATATATAATAATTAAACCTTACAGCAAAATGAAAAAGCTAATAAATCACCCTGTATAGGAAAATTTTTAAGAATAATTTTAATTTAAGTTTTCATCACCCACATAAAGATACATGTCAAAAATGCGATTAAAAATTAAAGCTACCAAAATCCTGAATGAAAAAATCAGCTTTTTAGACACTTTAACATAGCATACATTTAAGCAATGCAGAACTGGCTTGGAAAACTTTAAAAGAAGATCAAAACTTAGTAGGGGAATGTGTTGTACCTTGAACCGGTAGTAATTTTACTTACAAAACAAGGATCTACAAACTTAATATTTACTTAATATTTTTAATATCATAAAGTAAATTTTTATGTTTGATTAAACTAAATATTTTGAATCTACATTACAAGCTGAGTTAAAAGTTTTGGTCCGGTAAGTTCTGTGTTCATTTCTCTTTAATTTAAAACCAACAGAGATGCTTGTAAACATAATCTAATAAAACAGGAATAAGTTTTCAAAAATGTTACCAATTGTGTACCTTAGACCAATAACATGTTTGTACCTTGGTACATGTAATAAACGTGTACCTTATTACTTAATTTATTACAACCAAGCTTCAAACCAGTGGTTGATAAACAATCCAGGCAAACATATTGGAATTTACGATATTTCCGAAATGATCGGTATTGCATTTTCGAAAGCTTTTACAATCAATACGAATCTGTCGATAAGAAGGAACTGAGCAAGTAATTTATGTAGAAAAAATCAATCGATTGCCATTCACAGGAATTAGTATCTCTTTTAGGTGTTGGACACTGCAGATAATAATCCAGTTCAACCCCAATAGGACTTTTTTCATTTAATACAACTTTATTTATTATTAGCAACCTCATTGTAACAATCCCAATACGATATACATATAAAATCTCTTGTTGCAGTTTCGTCTAGTTTTTTTCTCTTGTAATTCATCATCACATTCATTACTAAAAGAACTGTCGCGGTTATCACTTTCGATTATTAATTAAAGTATCCTCTTTTTAATGCAAAA